GCATACCTTCTTAGGAGATAGTGTCAGTCACTATCTCCATGGAAATGTAATCCAATTATTGGATATTATCTTCACAAGATAAATTACAGCATATCTTTTGATACTCTGATTTTATTTTTCCTTTATAGAGTGTTCAGCGTGCTGGGCATTTGCCTACAAAATATTTACACTATTATTTTTTTATAAATAGATGGGAAACTAAAAATAAAATAAAATAATAAACATGCATGTATACTCTGTACTAAATACTGTAGCAAAGTTGGAAAATTTACTTTAAAGTTTTGCAACAAGTAAGAATAACCACAAATAAAGATACGACCAAAATCAATGCAGTATTATAATAGACTTTTTATTCTATTATCTTTAATAATTATTAAAGTAACAATTTGTAATTCTCGGATGCACCAAACCTGAAAGAAATAGGATTTTTGAAAGTGTAAAACCAGCACCTTCTATTAACATCTTGAAATAATTTCTTACAAATTCTTTATGAATTTCATAGCAGGATTCTAGGCAGGGTTGCCCAATTAAGTGAGCAAGAAGCTTAGAGGAGAATTTGCCCCTACATTTAAAACTACTGTCTCTCATGCGGACTCTCATGAGTAAGCACTGTTATCTAAGGATGGAGAGCACTAAACTCTCAGATGGATGTATTGTTTTATCAAGGATTGCATGTGTCTTAACTATTTAGCCACAACCTTTGGACCTCTAAAGGTGAGAGAGGGAATTGACAGACTGCAAAAATTAGTTAACCAATCTTTAATAACAGAGATATTCCACTCTGCTTGAGAGCTGAAAAAGACCTCTTTAGATCCTGACAGATTGGATCATTATTCTTGTATCTAATCTGTTTTTCCCTGGGTAAAACCATAAAGTGCATGGTGGTATCATAATTCCCGAGAAAAAGATTATCTGGATTTACTTCAATCAGGACTCAAACCTTGGGTCAGTACCAAAATGGCCATGGCCACTTTGTTTGATAGATGTGTACAAAGAATTAGATATTAGATGTGAATGCACCCATGTTAGTTTTACTGAAACTTTCAATATGATTGATCAGATAGGTCAGGAGAAGCATCATTTTAAGAGGTTCAGATACTTATCTGTTGCAGCCCTGATCAGTATCATTTGGTGTAACTAATCCTATCCTGTTTAATATTTACATAAAGAATTTAAAGATGTGATAGTGGAATATAATATGGAGTGTCATCTGTATGCAGATGATGCACAGCTGTAAATTTCAATCCAGCTACAGCTGATATGTCTATAGATATCTTATCTGATTTAAATGAGATTTAATAAGCCAAAATGAAATGGGATTGTGAAAGAACTACTCTTGAAAAATAGCAAGGCTGATCCAGACCTCAGTATTTATTTAGATTTAAGAATGGTCTCAACACGGCTTTGCTATTTGATGCACAGATATGAGTTTGGCACCAAAAACATTCTTTCAACTTTGACTGATTGTAACATTTCTGTATAGCCTAATGATGTTCCCACAGTGATCCATCTTCTTGTTATTATAAATTATGGTACCGTGTTTCCCCAAAAGTAAGCCCTACCTCAAAAATAAGCCCTAGTTTTGGCGCACGCCTAAAAATCAAGCTAGGGTGGGGATGGGGGGGTGGAGCTGCCCCAAGCACCCTGCACCTGTTTATTGTTGTAACTAGGCCTTGCATCAATCAACACTTGCCTCACCTCGCCGGCCCACTTCTTCTGCGGTACCCCCTGGTCTGCATTTTGCCATCAGAGACTTCCTGGAAAGGCCTCTGCAGCTGAGAACCGAGCTACGGATTGAATCTGTAGCTCGGTTCTCGGCTGCAGAGGCCTTTCTGGAAGGCCTCTGATGGCGAAATGCAGGAGCTCCATTCTTAGCTGCAGAGGCATTTCCTTTGGCCGCAGAAGAAGTGGGCCAGCTGGGCAGGGCTCTAGGTGCCACCACCACGAGGTGTAACCGTGGAAAAGACACCCCCCCAAAATAAGACTTGGAGGCAAAAAAATAAATAAGACCGGATTTTATTTGGGGGAAAACACGGTAATAGTCTCTATATGGAATTGCTTTATAGATAATTTTGAAGTTACAATTTGGTCTAAAATATTGCATTTGGATCTTGACTGACTCTAAAGGATAGCATATTTTTTTAATTGCACTGGTTATTAGTTGGTTTCCAGATCTAATTTTGTATTTTCAAGGGGCTAGTTTTATATGTTAAATGCCTAAATGGCTTAGGACCAAAGTACATGAAAAACTCTAATTTATGTGAATACTATATGCCCAGTTTGTAAGGCAGCTAGAAAGTTTTTCCTTCAAGTTCTGTTCCCTATCATTAATGAAGCTGGTCCACTGTCCACACAGAATGGGCTCTTTTTCACGGGCCAGTTACATTTTAATGGAGTTCAGCTCAATCTGAAGTTTGTTCTTGCTCTCTTTCAGGTGTAAACTGGAAAGTTGAACTTTTTTCTCCTTTGGCTTTTGTTTTATTTAATTGTGCAATTAATTGATTCACTAACCTTCTGATTGATATTTTGGCTGTATGTAGTATATTTTAATTATGATTTTAAATATAGATAGCATTCTAAATTCTGGTTTTAGTTATTAACTCTGTATGTGTTTTAGTCAAAAAGCAGAATTAAAACACTTTAATTAATGAATTACTCTACCAAGATAAAATACTCTTTTCAAATCCAGTCATAACATTTCTTACTTTCTAACCTCTTTTTTTCTCAGTTTCTGATAGTTACCAAAGTTACAGTACTGTGAGAACTGAAGAGAAAACCTTTTTTTTTAAATCATTTAGAACTTTAGGGCCATGAGTGAGTAAATGAGAGAAGGAGCTTATAGTAGCAATATTCCAGTCATCAAGTCCTTTGTTTTTAACAGCTTTTTCTATATTGAAATGTGCATAATATATCTAACTTTGTGTACTCTTTGGGGAAATTTAGAATGATGAATGTTGACATTTAGCATGCCTGGTGGAATTAGCAAAAGATTAGTGAACAGACCAGGAATTACAAATACTGATTTCAGTGCAAAGCAATAGGATTAGAATTCATGAAGATAAAATATTTTCTGAGATTGTGGAAGGATTTCTTATCTAACTATATGTGTTAATTACAAAGCAGGAGAATATCTCTATCAAACACAGCTGCTGTTTTGTTTATAGATAATCCACATTATCTTTCACTTCTTTTTAAACTATTTCTTCCTCTCTTCCTCTCTACAACTCTCTCTCTCTCTCTCTCTCTCTCTCTCTCTCTCTGTCTCTCTCATTGTCTTCCTCCCCCCCCCCCCCGTCTGTCTCTCATGCAGGCACATGATGAAGTCTAATGAAGTAAACTCTGAATTGTGAAACCTTGCACTGTTTGTTTTAATTATCAAAAGGCTCTTCATTATTAATAGATGTGATACTCTCAGTAGACATTCAAAACAATTTTATTGAATATTTATTTTTACTATTAAAGCATAAACTAATACATGCAACAATGGCAATTAAAACAAAATTGGATCAAAGTAAAAAAAAATGAATAGTTCACATACTATGGTTTTTTACTTTGATGGAATGTAGTTCAGAGTTGCTGGAGGGAGGGGCTCTTTCCCAGAGGGTAAATGAGACGGTGGATCTTTGAAGGTTGGTCAGCAGAAAGAGAGTTAAAAGAGCTCCTCTCTTGATAGAGTATAGGCAGATAATTGCCTTAGCCTGGCAAGGTTTCTGTTTGTAGGTGAACAACAATAAAGAACTATTCAGAAGTAACCTACCTGTTGTTCTTGGTTCTTTGGGACTGACATTTACAGCATTATGAAATTAACATTTTACATGTGAACCGGGAAGGAACATAGATGTTGATATATAAATTAGTGATTCATAACTCAACCCCAGGCTTAACAGCTAATGTAATACTTGTAGTCCTCAATATACAACCACAATTGGGACTGTAACTTCTGTTGCTAAGTGTTGGGGTCGCTAAATGAGTTACACCCAATTTTACAACGTTTTTGACAGGGTCATTAAGCAAATCACTGCAAGTATTACTTGAATCAAAGGGTTGTTAAGCAAATCCAGTTCCTTCATTGACTTTGTTCTGGGAAGCTGCCAAGGGAAGGTTGTAAATGGAGATCACATGACCCCTGGATGCTGCAACCATTGTAACTATAAGCCAATTGCCAAGTGCCCAATTTTTGATCATGTGACTGCAGCGATGCAGACTCTTTATTATGGCAAACCTACAAAGTAGAATCACTGTGGTACCTGTGATCCCATCATTGGGTGGGAATGATGATCAAGGTGGATGAAACCAGAATTTCCTTCCCTTGATTTTTTTTGGAGGGGTAGGGCAGGGCAGCACGTTTGGGAGTTTACATTACATGTCTTTCTCTTAATCCCTTCTCAGATAGAAGTAACATATCAAACAGTTTGAACTAACTGGTCAGATATGATTTCTGGGAAACAAAAATGGGGTGTTGACTATCCCTGAGCTTGAATAAACAAAGAAGGCATAAAGATTTTGGGAAAAGAGAAAAAGGCAACTTTGAGATTAAGGCTAAGAGCTTCAAGGTTAAGTTGGGTTGTTGTATTCTAAGAGCCTCTGCAAATGTCTTTGACTTAAAAGAGTTACTAAAATGTTTGTTTAGAGTGCTTTTTTAAGGGTGCAATAAATATATTGACCTGAAAGTAAAATTAAGTCTTTAAGAAGCTTGATGTCGCTTCACAAAAAAGTCAGTAATGGAAACAAGACATCCCCTCTCCCCCCAAATTAAAGATGAGGAATCATCATAATTCAGAGTGATCTTCCTTTCTGATGTAGTGCAGTTTTTTAAAAAAATGTACTGCATTCAGTGTTACTGTGAGAAATGTTTTTAAAAGACAAAGGAACAGATTTTATGAATGCTAATATCTAATGCCATATCAGCTGGAGAATCAATTTCTTTCAGGATCTGTTTAGGAAAAACATTGTTTTGAAATGCAAATTTATATTTTTACCTTTACTTTTTTTAATAGAACATGACTGAAAAACTAAAGGATTGCTTGGGAGAAATGGTAACAATCAAAACAGAACCATGTTCTCCGTGCCAGGAAGAAGAATATGGACAATTTGGGTAAGAGCCTTTGGGTTTCTAATTTGCACTATTAATATAAGAATCCCGTGCAAACTGCAAAGACAAATAAGGGTGATAAGTGCGTTGTAATGTTACAGTGTAAATATTGACCTTTCATATTTGTGTCCCAGCTTCAGTCATAAGTAGTTCCCAACACTGGACACAAGAGTGTAAGTCACATCATGGCATTTATTTGTTGGATTTTTATATACCACCTTTATTTTTTGTCTAATCAAGGCAAAATACACATAATGATTCTGCCTTTTACTTTCGACCAAAATAGCAACCCTGCTCCTGTAAAAGCATTTTGGAAATTATGTTCAAGCTGTTTATTAACATTTATTATAAGATTGTCAGTGATTTGAAAACATCTTTTTTCTCCTATATCCCTGTGGCTTGGTCAGTATCTGGTACTAAAGCTATTTATTTCTTCCCAACCTGATATAGCAACTTGGGTTAAGGGGAATAATATATCTTCTTGTACAGAGAAAGAATAGAACACCTGTTCATAGCAGACTGTGTGGAAAATGTAACTGGGATAAATACCTCTTTGTATTTCTGAAAGAGAGGGATTCAGCATAGGGCAGAGTTGAGAAGAAGGCCTGATGTTGAAGGGCTGATGGCTTGGTTCATAGTTCAGTATTAAATCATGTGTTTGGTGAAGGCTGTCTATTGTTAAATGATTATAATAAATATGGCAACAAAGCCTTCTTCTGAGATAGTCTTCTTCCCTTTCCTTATATATATCCCACACTATGAGAAATTGCCCACCCATGCTGTAAGGAATTAAAATAGCATGACAGAATAATATTTGCAGGACAATAGGAAAACATGCTTTCTGGTGTTGAGGTATTTTTGTCACTTAAGGAGCAAAAGGGAAGCAGAGCCATTTGAAAATAGTTGAATATACTGGAGTTTTGCACCAAATCTACAAATTTCCTTCAGAAATTTGGGGAAATGTGTAGACCTGGTGCCAGGACCCCAGTACATCTAATTGATTTGATAGTTTGCTCAAGAGAAGTTCCAAGAAGTGAGAATTCAAAAATATTTTGAAATAGGTAGTGACTAAATTGACACACAAATTAGAAGCCAAGCAGGAAATTAATTTTAGTCTCAGGGTTAAAACAACATTTTTTTTCTTTTAACAACCCTGTAGTCCCTTGCATCAGGCTATAGTCAGGGCAACTGAATGGAGCTGAACGTTTACTGGCCGGATGCCCTTTTTTGATTCCTACACGGAGCTCATAGTAGATATTTTGTCTTTGCGCCCAGAGAGAGAAATATCTAGGATCAAATGCACAGCCTCCAGATTGTGAGACGAGAACTCCACTTCTAGGCCAACCAGCCACTCTAAAACAACAACATATACTTGTTCTAATTTATATTTCTTCATTTTCTATAGTAGAATATCACATGTGTTCTCTTGTTTTGTCAGCTCTCAAAAGCTTGACTCTCACTCTGTGGATGTGGAGCCTAAAAAGCTAAAAGGAAAACAGGAGTTGGTCATGTCCAAAAGTTTTCAGCAGGTAGATTTCTGGTGTAAGTATCTTATTGGTGATCTAACCATTCTAGTATTAAACTTTTAGAATAGAAAATACAGCCAATAGAAAGGTCACAGTTGTTATCTAAACAACAATAGTAAAACTAAAGTGTATTGTGTGGCATTTTGTCCATATTTCTCCTCTTAGGATTCTACAGTTAGTTTTTTTCCACAATTAATTTTTAAAAAGCTATTTTTTTTCCAAATTTGCCAAACTTCATAAGATGTTGACTGTCTCACATGAAAACTCATAAATAGTTCAAGCAAATATTCATAATGCTCATGATATTTGATAACTTTGAAGGATTCAGGCTATTTTAAAATTAATTTTTAAAATATTTATTTGGTGCCACAATACTGTAATTAATTATATGATGGCAACAGCATCTGAAAAGGTTTCTAACCCTACAGCTAAAAAGTTTCTATTAAATAATATAGCTTATATCCAAGAGGCAATTTTAAGTATATTCAGCAGCATATCTTAAATCCATGAAATTAACTAAGATATAAGAAAATTTGAAGGACAGAGTTTTCAAAAGACTCAGCACAAGACTATTTCTTAAGAGTCTTTGTCTGTCGTATATGTAGATATCAGAGGAAACATGGCAAATTTTCTCAGACACATTTGATTTTAATTTTCAAATTGATATTGTCCAATGGAAAAGTATTTTCTGCTACCTATAATCCTGGCTGACATGATTTTTTTATGTTTAATCTGCAAAATCCTTAGTGCTCTCTATGCTTGGTTGCAAATGTTTCTTTCCAGAGTAGGAGAGACAGATCATAAAAGAGCTAATTTTATTTTTTTATCAAAAGGGACATAAGTAATGTGGCTTGGTTTTATTCAAATTTACATCCTAGTTCTTCATATTAGTTTTTTTTTTAAATCACAAGAGTCCTATGTCAAAATATTAAATTTACTAAAAAAAAAAAAGAAAAGAAAAAAACTTTTGTGACCAAGCAGTTATTTCAGTTTAATAGATTTAGTATGGGAAAAGTCAACCAGAAAAAAAAATCCTCACCAATCCTAAGGTTGTTTGTCAGTATAATCCTATACAGTATATGAAGTCCAATAGAGATGTGCACAATGTTTGTTACAGCTGTTTTAGGCTTTCCATGCCTAAAATGAAACATATATTTGGGATATTTACATCCATGTATAGAACTGGGAAAAAGTCAAGGGCATAAAAAATTGGAGGTAAGCAACCTGTTGCCCTGAAAGATTAGCAGCAACTGAGGGAAGGAGAGAAAATGCTAAAAGCACGGGCAAATTTGTGGAATGTTCTATGCCGGGAATACTGGTAGGGTAGGGTAGGGTAGGAAGGAGCAGAGAGGATGATAACAGATCAAAATTTTCTTCCTGGTTCTCCAGATTTTATTTACTCTACAGCCTAACATAGTCTAGGTTTACTTCTGTCTGGCCTGAAATGATTGAGCAGAATCTCCAGAATGGAGTGGTTTTGTCCAGCGTTTGAAACAAAACATTTTCCCCATTTTGTGCCACAGAATTATACTGTGAGCCTAAGCATATAGTAAAGAATTTTTCTTGAAAGAAAAACATTTTTGTTTTATGATCTTCAAGTTGTCTGACATTCTATTCTGGTTTTGGCAACATCTATAAAATTTCCCACATGGGAAACTTTAAATGTGTGCAGCTTGTTCTCTTTTCTTGCCTTTGAGTTCCGAGCAGGATCATATTAACACTTTTAGTAATTATTTTGAAATGAGAATTAGCATACTTAGGATTTTAAAGCAAATGTTCATGTGATTCTTCTACTGAAACAGAAAGAAGTAGAGAATCTTTATCTCACTTGGGTGATAATTGGGGTTCCAATTTAGAAAGCATTAAATATATCTCTTCACGTTTATGTCCAAATTTACATTTAAACAAAACTTGGCATTGTTCTGAGACAATATGCAATGAAAATTACATTGATTCCTCCATAATATTGCTTTGAACTCTTGTTTTGATTCAAAAAGTTATAATCAATGTCACTGTTCTTATATGATTCCCACAGTGCTGATCTTGCCAGAATAGCTACCTCTTTATTTACATATATGTGTTATCACCAATTTTATATTGACAATGGTATGAAGTTGCAATAAAATAAGAGATAAGAAGTACTTCAGAGCCACCAATAAATTTCTTCAGTTGCAGTCTGGCAAAGCTGCTTTTTGCATTTCCATAAAAGAGATTTTTAAAAATCAAGCCTTGGAGCTATTGAAAAAGTTCAGGAAATTATGAAAGGAATGCAGTACTAATGGATTAATTGCAAACCTTGGCCTGATACTTAATTATGAAAAAGATAATTCATACACAAGAAAATTCATGTACATGTTATGATATAAATGTGAACTATTGGGACTACCGGTAATTCTCATGTGTTTCCATCTTTTAAAAAAAATAAATATTCATTGGGCCAGGAATAATCTCTGGTTCAAAGAGCCTCCACAACAACCACAATACATATTTTCCTGCCTTAACTCATACTATACTATTTCCTTAGTTTTGGCTGTAGAGTAAAGGTGATACAAACATAGTACTTGTGGTAAACTATAGTTGTTTGCTTCTGCTTCTAGGAAAAATGGTTGGATTAAAAGATATTTTATTCTTTTAAGCAAGTTTTTGTGAATTATACCTTCATTCAGGAAGCAAACACTTGATTTCCTATTGCAATGAGCTGAAATCCTTGCTGAATGCATAACCTATGACTCAGAAAGATGTAGCTTGGTGGCTGGGAATTACTTTTTAATAGAAAAAAAAATCCCCTAGATATTTTTGGTAATTTGTTTACAATTTTGATGGAACTTATAACTCATGAGCAAGGTTAATTTGAAAATTAAAATTAAATTCAAAATACTTTCCTGGCATCCTTAGCAAGATTAGGAGGGCTGAACTCATTCTTGTCATTTCCTCTTTCTATAGTTTGTGAGTCGTGCCAGGAGTACTTTGTAGATGAATGTCCAAATCATGGCCCACCAATGTTTGTGTCTGATGCTCCAGTACCCATTGGCATCCCTGAACGAGCTGTGCTCACGATCCCTCCTGGCATGGAAGTGATCAAAGAGCCAAATGGGGAGCGAGATGTCCGCTGCGTGAGTGACGTTATTCCCAAAGGTCGCATCTTTGGACCATATGAAGGGAAGCTGTCTAGTCAGGACAAGTCAGCAGGATTTTTCTCTTGGCTGGTGAGTATTCTCAGCTGGGTGATTCTTTAAGGAATCAGTGAGATTAACATCTGGAACACATTTGCTTAAAAATATAGTTTAGCTATAAGAAGAACGTGTGTAATTAAGAAGCTCCTCATTCAATTAATCTTCAGGCAAAGATTAAAGTGTAAAGAACAAAGTAAAACTTGGAAGTCAGGAGTAAGGTTTTCATACAAGAAAACATAGTTCTGCAGGCTGCAAAGCCCAGCTGTCTTCCAGATGAATTTTTTTGGTCAGCTCCAAAAAAATAAATAGGTAATATTGTACTAAGAATGAAAAATTAAAAGATTACACTTATTTGTTTAATTACCTTATTCTGTATGATCCTAACTTTGTTATAAATGTATGCGTTTTTTTCAGATTGTTGATAAGAACAACCACTATAAATCCATAGATGGAACAGATGAGACTACCTCAAACTGGATGAGGTGAGTCTGTTTCCTATATATAATTTCCCCTGTGTGCTTTTAATTTGCATCTGTAAAAAGAAAGAATGCACTTCCCCTTTTTCAGTTTTTGAAAATGAATTGATTATGTATGACTTGATTTTTAATATCATTGATAAATTTTCTTTCAAATATTCTGTTTATCTTTTGTACAAAGTTTTATAGGGGACAAAGAGAGAACCTGGTCATTACAGTGATTTAGAAGTGATTTCTGTATTTTGGTTACATTTACCTTTTATGTGTATTAAAATAACTTTAAAAGCATTTGCTAGTAGATCAGAACAGAAATGGAAAAAATTCTGTCATAGGAAACTTGCTTGGTCCTTTTTGTTAGGAGTATTGGCTATTTTATCTTTGTTTTTAATGGCACAGTGGGACAAGTAGAGCAGATGTATTATTTCTGCAACTTAAAACACATCCACAAATTTCAGTTTGATAACTCTCCTATTACCTCTCATTGATTTTTACAAAAAACATCTAACTATTCCTACTTTAAGTAAAGTATTTCACAACTCTGCTCATGAAGAACAGAACAAATTGGTCAGGAATGTGTTGTCGTTGTTTTATTCCCCAAATCAGTCTCGATATTTACCTAGTTGTTATGGTTGGATTGGTGTGTACAATTGTGCTACAGATTATTTCAAATGGTAGATGGCTCATGGCAAAATACAAAACACTTTGAAGATACTGTATTCAAACTAATGACCTTTTAATTAATTTAACAATGATATGGATACAAATTATTATATCTATATTGTAAGCATTGAGGAAAATTGATTTATAACTTCCAGCTGTCCCTATGAGGAAGACATACATCAGAAATGTATTGATGTATTTCTTGAAGATGTATTGTAATAGATGAAGTGGCACACTAATATCAAATGACAGATTAACACTGGTTATTTTTAAACCAACCAAAACATTTCCTTCTATATAGAAATGTACAATATTATTTTGATTTACTTCGATAGAAATCATATCGAACTTAGTGTGATTTGTGAGTAAGCATGTCTGCATATAATTGGAGTGCAAATATAATAATAGTAAAGGTGGGATACAGAAGAAACTAAGTAGCCAATCAAAAGTATTTATCAAATTTTAAAAAATAAGAAATTAAGGCAAATGTCTATGTATCTATATTGATATTAGAGTTTACTTGTAGACTTGTAAGTGTTATTGTATATTCCAACCACTTGGACATATACTATACTGTAATCTAGCATTTTTCATGCCAGTTTTCTCTTCTCCCTCCTTTTTTTTCTTTTCACATAAAATCAATGTTCTGAGGCTACTACTAATAACAATTAATCTTCATTAACTTAGAGGCCATTTTTAAATATCTTTCCAATTGAATAAAAGAATATCCAATTGAATAGACTGGCTCCAACAGAACATAGTGGAAATAGTGGAGCCGTTTATAGGTTACCCTCTCAAGTTTGTTGAATTCTGTAACACTTGTTGGCGCTAACAACTTGTTGGTATAATGTTGATTGAAATTTGCAGTCGAATGGGAAACAGTTTTATTCTAGCTTCTTAGTTTGCTGCCTTTCTATTTTATTTCAAATATCTTCAAATTGTAATAGGCTTGCAGAACATTGTGTCTTATTTTCTAAAAATGCTTGTGTCACATTATTAAAAATAGGTAACATGATAGGGAAAGGAAGATACTGGATTTTTAAACTGCAATATTAGCTAGGAAAATATGCTACTAGTAAAGAGAAGTATGGATTACCTTCTCTCATTGGAATACGATAACGAATTTATGGTTACTGATGATGTTGACAGGAACATAAACCTAGAAGGGTATTGTTTTTTTAAAAAAAATATTGCCTGGATTTGAAACTGTAATGCTAGAACAGCTTTTTTTATGGCTTATGCTACCTCAGGATGGTCAAAGTATTCAAAAGCATGGATTTCCTTCCTTTCTTACATTTTATTTTGCTAAATTAAAAATTGAAATATTAGGATGTACATTTTGAGCTTCATGGTCTCTTTGGATACTGCAGATAATGACAGTAAAATTGATGAGTCCTACCTCGTGGCACTTGCAATTATGGTCAAATTAGAACTGCCCAAGCCTTCTAAAATAAGTTCCTGAAGAAGTCATTACTAAAATGTAATTTATTTCTGAGTAAATTAACTTAGGTTTGAATGAAGGTCTGGTGTAATGGAAAAAAATGGTTATAATGGATGTAAAATTCAACGAAAATGCAGTATTTTGACAAAATACGATATAGTACATTCTGAATTATTCTGGGGCTCCTAGAGCACATTTAAGCTGCTTGGCATTTATCATGGGACAAGTGTATTCTGTGCTAGTTCATCTGCTTATTTGTGAGGAATGGTTATATGTTATTAAAATGTCACATTTTTGAACAATACAACATTGTATTTAATAAATATGGAAAGAGTCTTTTCTGGTTAAATATTTGTCACAGACATGTGATAAACATTATGGTTGGACCAGGAAGACTTTTTTTTTAGCAAACTCCTGTATTTGTGAGTTATAGGATATTTGCTAAATTTGTCTAGTATGAAATGTCAGTCAAAGCCCAATAAAAGATAGAAAATTTGAATGAAATTTATATCAGATTACAAAACACTATGTACTTTGCTGTGTGAATATTTCTTGCAGATAATATCACAAGTTCTCAGATTTTCCCCGTTTCCCGAACAGAGTTGTAAATTTTGAAAGTAGCCATGGTTCTTCTTAGCATCTCAATTTTCTTTTGTCTGTTAGAAACTGCTTGCAATATCAGGCAAATATTAATTAATCTATTTAACAGAAAGACTATTCATTGTTTTCCATGAAAGAAACAAACATCATTTAATCAAGGAGGAGAAACAGTTGCTAATCTTGGAAAATTCTCAGTGTGGAAAATTCAGAATACCCTTGCTGGTTTTATTTATTTATTTTGGTGTTATGTGTTTAATCGATTTGGTCTCTTGAGTCATTGCCCTGTGGTAAATATCTTCAGGGTCCATTTTTACATGAATCAGTAAATGTAATTTTTAATCCCTAGAATTGTTTTTTTTTTGTATCAGAATATTTGGTAGTTGTTTCATTTCTTGCCAAGATAATTAAATTTCTCCAAGAACAAACAAAGCCTCCAAATACCTGTTCATTTACATGCAAAGATTACACAAAACATGGTACAAGTTGCATGTGATCTTTGTTCCCCACCAACCTAAGAGGACTGCTGTTTTACAAACAAAATATCTTCTGACTTTCTATGCTTGTGTAAGAGTGGAAGGCATTATCTTGAGAGGAAGCTCATCAAGCTGAATATTAATGTACAGTGGGACATGTTTCTTATTTATAGTAGTGTGAGTATATCACATTGATTTCCTTTTACCATTTATCCTTTGTGGGATATTGAACCCAAAGAACATGACTGAACGAAAGAGGAAGCCCAAGTTCTCCAGGGAAGAACTGGACATTCTGGTCACTGAAGTGACTCGGAACGAAGCCAGACTGTATGGAAGGGAGACAATACGCCTATCTCATGCAGACAGGGACAAGATCTGGGAAGTTATAGCCAGAAAAATCACATCAGTGAGCCATGTTCCCAGATCTGTAAAAGATATTAAGCACAGATGGGACAACATGAAAAGAAGGACCAAAGACAAACTGGCATTCATGCGGAGGTCCATCTCCAGTCCCAGAAGCCCGGGGAGGCCCTCGGCCATTGTCCTGACCGCCCACGAGAGAGCCATCAAGTCGACACTGCATTCGTCATGCCAGATGCACGGCTTCCGGAGAGCGGATCTGGATGTGGTTGACAGCCCATCAACCAGTTGTAAGTATTATCTCTTGTCTGTTCCCTGCTGTACAGCTTGGTTCTGACAAAGAAATGTATTATACAAAAGATAATGCTTCCCTTTTTGGTGAAGTACACCTTCTAGTTCATGTTTCCTGAAGCATTTAATACTTCCTCTTCTGGATACTTTCCTCATTATTGACTCATGAAGCTGTATCTTGATTAAACTGATACAGTCTGTGTACCTTATTATTCAGGTTAGCATAAAGGATAGACAGTACGTTACTGCCCCATTTATAGAATGATATGTGTGATATATAACATATGCATGTATGCAACAAGGACAGAAGTAATAAAATTGTGAATCATCATCATTAACAAATCCTATATCAATACCAGTTATTTTTATTATTCATAGACTGCATATTTGTTTACTCAAAAATGTATTTGTAACTGCAAAATCAATACTAGTGGCATTTATTCACAGTCATGCAGAGTGGCAAAACATTAGTACCATCCAATGTGCACATTCCCAACCATACTTTTAGCATTTGCTAATTTGGCATTTGTGGCAGTTGTAACTACTGCAGATAACAAGAATTGCCTCTGTATCCCCTCCATAGATACAGAAATAGTCTAAAAAAGGCTGGTGATGCAGTTGATTATTTGTATATAATCCATATTGGTATTATCATTACTTCCATGATATTTTCTGATATTGAGCCAATACTGTACAGGTTAATGTACTTGACTTGCAGATATCTATATCTGCAGATCCCTGTATCTACTATTTTCCCCTACCAGCAAGAATGTCAGCATTTATTCATATGCGGATATTTCCTGATTTATACATATACATTGTACATATTCAAAATGGGATTTTGCTACTCAGTATATCTTAGCTGGCATCTGTGATTCAAGCAGTCCCTAGGTTAAGAACAAGTTCCATTCCCCAATTCTGTCTTTAATCCGAATTTGTATTTAAATTGGAACATCTACTTACCAATGGGCTGCCATGAACCAATAAAGCCCTGAAGCTACACAATGCTTTTAGGAACCAATAAAAACTGCTGAAAACATGTTGTAAAATAAAAACACATAGTTTCAATAGTTTCTGAAAGAATTGCCCAGCTTCAGTGTTTTGTCAGTTCTGAGAAGGGCAATATTTTTGTCCTTTTTTCTTATAGGCAGCCTGTTTGTATCTAGCATTGCCCTTAAGTT